TTCAGCCCTTGAGGAAAGCGTCCACCCTCTGCGACAGTTGCTTTTGGAGGAGGAAGAATAGTGAAAGGAGGAGGAAGGGAGGAGGGAAGGTGTAATTCAATCTGTCTGCACCACATTGCAAGATCATGAGGCAGCCATATATATTTTTATCAGACAATCTAGGCTGCATCTCAGAAGTGTAGACCCTGCCTACAAAAACATGGTTTTTATCCGCAGACTGAAAATAAATCTTTGTGTTTCTTTGATGACGAAGCCACTCTGGCGAGACACAGGCCGCTGTTGTTTCTCTTCTGTTTCCTTACGTCGTGTAATTACAGGACCTCCTCGCTGCGCCCTGGGCCACATATTGTATGTTTCTCCAATCAAGTTTGTATGGCCAGTGATGTGTTCAGCCCAGATATGTTTATAGTCAGGAGCGGCTTATGGGAGGGCCGTCCATTCGCTCAACTCTTTTGTAGCTAGCTGGTCGCGGTTGAGCCGTGTCATGTTTTGGGTTTCGTTTGAAAACACGCTGGAGGGTGAGAAACTGTAATTACCCAGACTGATGTTCTCAACTAAAACACAGTGGCTGCTAACAGGCAGGGGTGTACGAGACGCAAACGTACGTAAATTTAAATCTCAAGGGGGTTGACGTGGGGGGAGCGTGAGAAAGGGTACAGAGATGAGAGGAGGATTGAGGAGAAGATAGGTTACCTCATCATGCCCTCTGATCCAAAACAAATGATGTAAATGTGTGTCACGTGTTGGCCCAGGATTTACATAGTTTCAACCCTTTCCAGCATGTGACTCATGCCTGTGCTGTGTGCGTGTGTGGTGTGGTTTATGATTATTCAAAAGATAGTAAAGTAATAAAAGGAAGTGGAACTTTTGCCTCTCTTTCTCCCTTTAGTTTTTGGATAGCTGCGTTCCATTTTGGATCCAGCTCCAAGATTTTTCGGTAAAAAAAACGTGGATTTGCTTTTTTTCGAACTCCACATACAACACATCTGCTCTTTCAATTCTCTTCATGTATAGTATCTCTTGTCATCTTTCAAAAGAACAAAAACTTGTGTGGACTACAACAACAATTAAACAACTGCCAAAAATGCAGTATTACAGTGAGGCTACTCCAAGACAAGGACGACACAGAGTCGCTTGCTTAAAATGTATCTAACGTCTCATGATTTAGAGTAAGAACTTAAGAAGTTGTGCACATGCATGCAAGAAAAATAGATTATTTTTTAGTTCATACTTGCTAAATGATAAATGTAGGAATTAATATTTCCACTGGTGTTTGGCTTACATTCATGCAGCTGTAGCACAGACCCCCAGGTGGGAAGCAATTAGCTGTGGCAGAATGAATGTTCACATAGCGGCTGACAAACATATGCATTGAAACCCATACACCCTTTCAGCACAAGTAGGAAACAAAACTAGGCAAAAAATTTGGTTAAATTATTCGAAAAAGGATTCCGATTTTGACTTCCCATCCTCAGAGCATATTTCCAGTGATCCACATCGAGTCTAAATGTCATGGCCAGGTATATTATGTAAATTTGCCTCTAGTTTGAGGAAGCAATGGTGAAGTACTGAAGGAGGGAGATCTCTGAGAGAAGAGGAGAGAGAGAGAGAGAGAGAGAGACAGAAACACAGGAAGACCGAGAGACAGCGAGAGATTAGAAGTCGGCCTGGCTTCTATTCAGTTTGCTGAATGAGTGTTTTCCACGTCAGTCTGTCCCCCCTCCATCTTTCTTTTTTTTCTGTTTACAGCGGCACGGACAGTATGTCTGAATATGTCTGCACATGTGCTTCTTTGCCATGTCAGATATTTTCTCAGATGAGTGGAAGTGAATTATACATCGAGGCTGGCACAGTTAAACTGAGGCGTCGCTGCTTATGTAATAGCTTCTGTGGAACTCATTTGCCTGGCTTTATTTAGTAGCTCTGATCGTGTGTGTGTGTGTTATATTCTGCTTCAGCGACGATCAGGGTTTTTTTTTTTACACGAAAGCTGTGACACCTTTGCTGAGCCATTTCAGATATCGTGGCCTACTTTTCCTCACTGAAGCCTGGTAAACCGCTCTGCTACAATCGAGGCTCCTGTCACTGCCCCCTCCCTCGCTCACCCTCACATTATAGGTCACATTGTCAGTCAAAGTGTTGTTGCTTTCAGTGTGAGATAACAGCCTCCTTCTCTTTGCTCTCTGCCCTCAGTTAAACTGAAACAATGGCCCTCCACTGTTCATACAGCCAAAGCAGCAGGGGGGGGAGGAAGGGAAGTTTAGGAGGGAAAACTTTACTCTTCTCTCCACATTTAGGACAATGAGAAGTCAGAACAGCCTGAGCACCTGGATTTTCCAGAATATACTCCAGTAAACATCAAAGCTAAAGACAAAATGACCTGCTCATGCACTTATAAGAGGTTGTAGTTGCCCCCAAGTATTGTATTAAGTCCATGTTAAAGAGTTAATGCTGAACTGGTCATTGATCCTGACAAACAGTAGTCCACTGGCCAGACTAATCCCTGTGTCTCTACCACCGACATTCTTGGTATTTCCAGTGTCTGCGGATCTGACCACTGACCGCCGCTGGATAACTGTCAGTGGCTGGAAAATCTCCTGGAAAATCCAACATTTGGAACGGATGAGGAATGTCAGCCAGATCGTCCCCCTTTTCACATACTATTACCTCTATTTCCTCCTATGCCAGCTGACTGTAAACCAGCACTCTTCAGCTCCAGTACTGTTTAGTGCTGGATATGGAAACTCAACACTTTTTGGTGCTAACTGAAATCCGTCCACAGCACC